GGAGTCAGGAGGACACAGTTGTTCCATGAGCTTGTTTGAGCCCAAAGAGGAAACTTCCATGGAGGAGAAGAACCTTTTAGGATACAGACAGATCTGCTCTTTAATCCCTAGAAACCCTGAAAATGATTAAAGAAAAGGCTCAAGGAAAATTCTTCCTGCTTAAAAGTAAGGAAGAAAACTGAGGGCCATCCCTGCAGGTTAACATGAGAATCTTCCTGGGGGGGATAAGCTAATTCCTCACCTGGTGCCCTGTGAAACCATCCCAAATCAGGTCATTAATCTGCAGCATCAGTCCAGAATAAAACTGAATCCATGAAACCTGATTTATACATCCACAGGAACAAACTAAGCTGCTCCCAGAAAGCCAAGGTGGGGCTGAAGTTGTCTCACATGGGGGTCACACAACCCTCCACCACCACAAGCCTTGTGCTGAGAAGGCACTCGGTGACTCAGGGTCCTTCAGGAGACAAACTGAGCTGGACAAATCCAAGAAACATGGGATAAATCCTTAATTTTGGCAACCACAGTGCAAATCTGCTGTGGGTTTGGCCCTCACAGGAGCAGGAAGGCCACGGGGGGCAGGAGCCATGCCGTGGATGCTCCTGGACGAGGTTGTTGCCGGCTCTGCGCAGCGATTCCGGCAGAAGCCGAACATACGGCGGCACAGCGGGAATGAGCGGTGAGGAAAGGCAGGAAGGACGTGGGGAAGGAGGTCCCTTGGACCTGGCGGTGGTGGAGTCGCTCAGGAGGTGTTTCAAGGACAAGCCTGAGCAGCTGTTTGAGCTTGTAATGAGAAGCTCAATAGTGTTTGATTTATTTTATGAAGGTGCTGCGTTTCCACTCCTGCTCTGGGAGGGAATTAAACACGGAAAGGGCTTTTGGGAAAAGTTTTGGAGGCTTCCGCTCCAAAAGGACACTGCCAAGGTTGAGGCTTTACAAGCAGGATGAGATGACCCTTCTGCTGGGTCTCATCTCTGTCAGATCTCTGCACAGTGCTCATCACCCCTTCCAAATCCAAAGGTATCACCCTCCCAAAACTGGGGAGTTCCCTGAAAAACACATCCAGGGAAAAAAAGAGAATGTCTGTCTGGAGTCTAGTTGCTACCTCAGGGATGTTGCATGTCTAGGCTCTGCCTCTATGCAGAGCAGGGTGACCCAACCTCCCCAGCACTTCCAGGGTGTGACAGCACAGTATGTTAAGGGGTTTGAATGGACCTTAAAGAACACCTAGTCCCAACCCTCTGCCCTGAGCAGGGACAGAAGAAGAGGAACAATCCAACTGCTTGTCCAGAGCTTTTCCAACATCTCCACTCATTTCTGTACACTCCTGTGCACCAAAGGGCCTTATTTTGCTTGGATAACCATTTCCAGTTGCCTGCCCAGCAGTATCCAAGGCTCCTCCCTGTCCTGCAGCCTCCTGACTCCACCAGAGCTCCACCACACTGCCCTCGTGGCTCCTCCCAACAGCCTTCACCCCACTCTGCTACACTCATAAGCCAAAGAACAACACATTAGGAGCAGTAAACTGTCCAGCCTGGCCCCATCCATTGGGTTTGGATTGCAGCAGCACTGCAATGAACTAAAACTGCTGGAGGAAATCCAGAGAAGGCCATGGAGATGTTTCAAAGGGCTGGAGCAGCTCTGCTGTGGAGCCAGGCTGGGAGAGCTAGGGGTGTTCAGCCTGGAGAAGAGAAGCTCCAGGGAGACCTTAGAGCCCCTTCCAGTGCCTAAAGGAGCTCCAGGAATGCTGCAGAGGGACTTGGGACAAGGCCCTGGAGGGACAGGTCACAGGGAATGGCTTCCCACTGCCAGAGGGAAGGCAGAGATGGGATACTGGGAAGGAATTCCTGGCTGTGAGGGTGGTGAGGGGCTGGCACAGGTTGCCCAGAGAAGCTGTGGCTACCCCACCTCTGGGAGTGCTCCAGGCCAGGTTGGACAGGGCTTGGAGCAACCTGGGCTGGTGGAAGGTGTCCCTGCCCATGGCAGGGGGTGGGACAAGTTCAACTCAAACCAGTCGCTCAGAGACACCAGAGACCTTTTCCTCTCCATCCCTGTGAGCCACCACATGCAAGGACAGTTCAGAGCTCCACACTCAAACCACCTCACCTCCAAAACAAACCAACCAACTTCTGCAGGAAGGCCAAAAGCTGGAGCTGCCCTGTGTGGCCTCTCCCTGCACTGCCTTTCCTGCTGCCTTGGCAGCCAAAGCTCAGGTTTGCTGCCACAGCCGCAAACTGCTTGTTCTGCCAACTGTACATTGCTAACGTTGGAAGGGATCCAGCCCTGGGAATCTTTTCTAAAAGCATTTGCTTCATACTTTAAATAGCAGCTCAGCAGGCAGGGGGAGGGGAGGGAGGGCTCAGCCCCTGCCTGAGATCCATCTGCAATCTCCCAATGGCTCCTCCACCCCTGAAAACTGAGGACGATCTGTGGAGGAGAGTGGAGAGAGTTGGAGGGATGTGATCCCAAATTGTCCAGGTTGGTAGCATGGAGGATGCTCCAGGAATACTCCCCTGATGTTGCTACCTTTCCCTTCCCGATCTCCCTATCTCCATGCCTGGTTATTAACTCAATTAATACCAGGACTTTGGGTGTTTCTCCATTGGAATCCGCTCTGTGGTTCAGCATCATTTTTCCCAGTCCTTAATGGATTTGCTTTTTATTGCACTGAACAGCATCATTTTGGGGGGGAATTCTATGACTCAATGCATTGTTGGGATGTCCTGAGCCTGCTGCAACTCCACTGCAAATCCAAACTGCCTCTCTCGCATGACATCCCATCTCCAGGTGGGTTTCCTCAGGGAACAGAGCCACACACTGCGGGATACGTCACCGTCCACCAACAGCACCAAAACCACATCCTCAGCACTTTGCAAACACTAATCAGCTTCATGGCTGAGACACGGAGAGGAGAAGGAAGGACACAGGCAGGGAAACACCATGGCTAACCCTTCACACAACCACAAGGACAGAAAACTGTTTCTGGCCACAAATATTTTAAGTTTTTCTGTATTTTTTTTTTTTTTTTTATTTTTTCTCACCTCCTCACGTGAAATGCTCCTAGGAAAGTGCTAACACCAGGGAAGTTTCCTTCCTGTGCTAACTTGCTGCAGCAGATAAGCCCCAGCACGGAGCAAAGCTCAAGGCAGGAGGTTTGGAAGCAGAGCTTGTCCTAGTTAATGTTCAGCCCTGCTGGGCAATGTCAAGAAAACTAATGACGGGCGAAGCGGCGGCGAGCAGGGACCTGCGTGTGCTCACCAGGCTCCTTACACAGCCTGGGCACAGCCTCAATGAAATCCCACAGCAGCTGCTGTCCTGCTTCGTTGGGAAGCCTGGGAAACGGGAGCAGAATGCTCCGGCGCTGCGCGTGTCCCCGAGTTAGTTAGTTAGAGTGTGCTGGGAGAACCTAGGGCAGTGTCTGCGGTGGGGTGGGACCAGGGGGTGGGTTTAAGCTGAAAGAGGGGAGATTCAGGCTGGAAAAAGGCAGGAATTCCTTAAATCCAGAGGAGGCCATGGACGTGCTCCAAGGACTGCAGCAGCTCTGCTCTGGATCCAGGCTGGGAGAGCTGGAGGTGTTCAGCCTGGAGAAGTCTCCAGGGAAACCTCACAGCCCCTTCCAGAGCCTAAAGGGGCTCCTTGAGAGCTGCAGAGGGACTTGGGACAAGGGCCTGGAGGGACAGGACACAGGGAATGGCTTTCCACTGCCAGAGGGCAGGGATGGATGGGATCTTGGGAAGAAAATATTGGAGAAGGCTCCAGGGAGACCTTAAAGCCCCTTTCAGTGCCTAAAGGAGCTCCAAGAGAGCTGTAGGAGGACTTTGGACAAGGACATGGAGGGACAGGATAAGGGGGAATGGCTTCCCACTGCCAGAGGTGAGGGTCAGATGGGATATTGGGGAGAAATTCTTCCCTGTGAGGGTTCTGAGGCAGTGGCACAGGTTGCCCAGAGCAGCTGTGGCTGCTCCATCCCTGGGAGTGTTCCAGGCCAGGCTGGACAGGGCTTGGAGCAACCTGGGCTGGTGTAAAGTATCCGTGCCCACAGCAGGATGATGACTTTAAGGTCCCTTCCAACCTAAACCATTCTTGGCTTCTGCCTGTACTTCTATCTCATCCATGGGCTTGGGGGATAACTGAACATCTGTTATCAAGGAATGCTGCTCCGCATGGAGCAGCGGCAGGAGCTCTGGCACAGGCAACGCTTGACGGATGAGACGCTCTCAGCTCTGAGTGGGATTCACCTTGTGCATGAAGGACAAAGTGTTTGCATCAAGAACAAAGTGTTTCCACCAAGGACAAAGCACTTGACCGAAGGGATGGACAAGCAGACACAGTGCAGAACAAGCTCAGCCCACCTGAGCAGCTCCCAGAGGGATGTTATGGCCTGCAAGGACCTCAACACATCCTATCCCTCCTTGGTGCACCTCACCCTTCTCCTGTGTATGGCTGGAGCCCTTTGGACTTGTACGTTTATGACTGGACACTGAGGGTGAATTTTAACCTTTACAAGGCTCCTTGAGCATCTCTGCTTGCCGGTCCCAGCGCCGTGTTCTCCAGCAGGAGGTAGGTCACCACTCCCTCTGATCTGTTTGCTTGGCAGGAGACCAGATCTGACAAGGGTCCATGGTTCCCCACCACGTCTTGCACAGCGTGTGGCAGAGTTATCTGTCCTTCACCTCCCCCAGCCATAAACCAGAGGTTCAGAGCTGATAAACCTTTACTGGGGCTGATCCTGAAAGCCTAACGAGTACTGGTGATTATGGTAATCTAAGGAATCATTTTAGAAAGAATCATAAACACAAAGTGCTACCAGAAACAAAGGTGACATCTCACCCAAGCCAAGCAACCCTTCCCTACTGTTGCTTCTATAAAAGGGGGAGAAGGAAAACTATTGCAAAACGATTTGGGGCTCATTAAGTCATAATTACTTCCTGTGCTTTAGTTCCTGAAGGGCTTCAGGAGAACACTCTGCCTCCAAAGGTTTCCCACAGGCTGCCCCTTACCTTGCTCCAACCTCTTCATCTGCTGGATCTGATCCACAGTTTTCTTTAGGATCTTGCATTTGTCAGGTTTGACGCTCAGGGTGTCAATGTCTCCGATGTTTGCTGACAGCAGCTCTGCCAACTCCTCCAGGTACTTGTTCTCCTGCTCCCGACGTCGTTTCTCATTGCTGGGAGACAAGGGGGAAAAGGAAAAGTGAGGTTAAGTACTTTCTCCCACAGCTCAGTCTTGGCACAGCAGGGCAAGGGACAAGGACCCCAAAACACAAGTAGTGGTTGGATGGTGACCTGGTCATAACCCAAATATCTCCAAAGTTCTGTAGAGTTCAGTCAGGGCTTTGTCTGTTTATACATAGAAGCTGAATTAATCCAAGGAAGGTCATGGAACCACAGACTGGTTTGGGTTGGAAGGGGCTTTAAAGTCCATCTGGTTCCAACCCCTGCCCTGGGCAGGGACACCTCCCACCAGCTCAGGTTGCTCCAAGTCTCATCCAACCTGGCCTGGAACACGCCCAGGGATGGAGCAGCAACAGCTGCTCTGGGCAACCTGTGCCAGCGACCCTCACAGCCAGGAATTCCTTCCCAGTATCCTATCTCTCCCTGCCCTCTGGCAGTGGGAAGCCATTCCCTGTGTCCTGTCCCTTCATCCCTTGTCCCAAGTCCCTCTGCAGCTCTCTTGGAGCCCCTTGAGGCACTGGAAGGGGCTCTAAGGTCTCCCTGGAGCTTCTCTTCTCCAGGTTGGACATTTCCAGCTCTCCCAGCCTGGCTCCATGACAGAGCTGCTCCAGCCCTTGGAGCATCTTCATGACCTCCTCTGGACTCTCTCCAGTAGCTCCACACCCTCCTGCTGTTGGATCCCAGCGCTGGAGGCAGCACTGCAGGTGGGTCTCACCTGAGAGGGGCAGATGCTGAGGGGCAGTAAGACACCCCCAGCAAGACCATCCCTCCAACCCTCAGGACTGAGCTTTCCTCCCCAGTACAGTTAGAAATTAGTTCTGTTAAACATAATCATACAGCTTCTCAGTTTCCCACATTTACTATTCCAGCTGTTACCAGGCTAAATCCTAAATTCCTACATAAAATCCAACTCCACCCTCAGGAGCTCACTGAAGATTAGAACCAACAGTGGCAAGAGGAAAATGAAAAGTATGCATGAGATCAACCTTTTTGTCCCATCCAACGCAACTTTAGCTCCTGATGCTCAACACTCTCCCATCAACTATTTGTAAATTCTGGGAATTAGCAACGTCATTTCCATGCCAGGACGTGGCCATCATTGAAACCACCCCGGGCACTGCCACGTGTTCCTTCACCAAAGATGTTATGAGCATCTAAACCACCAAAAGGAACATATCAGAGAGATGAACAGAGACAAACCGTCCCCAAACACCTCCATCAACCACAGGAGGAAATGAAGACACCTCAAGACGTCTCACACAGCTCTACACCTCTTGTCATCCCTTTGATCAGGTTGGTTTTCAAGAAGCCACCTCATTTCTTGTTGCAAACTGCACAGGACTCTAATTAAGAAGTAATTAAGAAGTATTCCATGAAAATCCTTATCATTTAGGGGTTGAAACTAGATGGTCTTCCAGATGTCTTCCAATGCAAACCATTCAGTGATTCTGTGCTTTACTAGCCACCAAGAAGCGGCTGAGATACCTGTGAGCACCATGAGATGTTCCGCTAGTCATCAAGAAGCTGCTAAGATACCTGTGACCACCTGTGAGACACCTCCAGTCCTTACCTCTAAGGAGCAACTCAGGAACCTACACAGGTGTTTCTTTATTTTTCCCTAATTCCTGTTTATGAGCTCAGTTTCCAGGTCTGACAGGCAGGACCAGGTCTGACAGGGAGGTGTTGTCTCTTGGGCATTTTTCTGCTGTTTCAACTTGTTCTGACATGAAAATATCTGACAATCACAGGGATGATCCTTCCAGTGCCTCAAGGGGCTCCAAGAGAGCTGCAGAGGGACTTGGGACAAGGGATGAAGGGACAGGACACAGGGAATGGCTTCCCACTGCCAGAGGGCAGGGAGAGATAGGATACTGGGAAGGAATTCCTGGCTGTGAGGGTGGTGAGGCACTGGCACAAGTTGCCCAGAGCAGCTGTGGCTGCTCCATGCCTGGAAATGTTCCAGGCCAGGTTGGATGGGGCTTGGAGCAACCTGAGCTGGTGGGAGGTGTCCCTGCCCATGGCAGGGGGTGGGAGTGGATGAGCTTTAATGCCCCTTCCAACCCAAACCAGTCTGGCATCCTATGAGACTATGTGATGAATATCCCTTTGCCTCCCAGGTTCACTCTCCACCCCCTCACTTCTCCTGCTGCCCATGTCTCTCCAGGTGCTGTGATACCCAGAGAAGTGACAGGAATGACTCACCCTCTTGTGACTTTTTGGAGTCAAAAAGGAAAGAAAAAAACCCAAAAGCAAGACTAGGCATGGAAAACACAAACTGGCTTTGCCTGTAATACCAATCCCATGAAGTCCATGAGTGACACCTTCCATGGGAGACACAGGGAAACCCCTCTGCCATGGGTTTGGGTGGGTGCAAGAGTCTTCACAACCCTTCCAATGGGTGCTAAGGGGTCACAGGCAGCTTCATGGAGGTAGGTTGGATTCCTACCGGCTGCAAGAGTGCTGTATCCCACCCTGGACCACCCACTCCACACAGGAACGGGTGACAAATGCTTCCCGACAGAGCCGAGCAAGGATTTTAGTGAGGGATAAATGAATTCCTCTCCCTGCAAACCAAAGAGCAATAGCATAGGGGAGAGGGAAAAAAAAATCCCTCTGTTGTGGGTGAGCTCATTCCATGAAAACCCTTAATGTCGCTGTTGCTGTGGCAACTTTCGGATGGTAGGAGGGAGAATTGGCCAATTTTCCTTACATAAAAGCATCAGGAGAATATTCCAGCAGTGGGTTGGTCTCTGTGGCTCCCAAGTAGCATCAAAAGCAACAGTTAAAGCTTCCAGGATTGAACAAAGGAGTTTTGGGAGATCACTTTGCTCTGGAGGATGTTATGGAGGGCTCTGGTCAGACCAGGGAGGAGGATGTGGTCCCTCCCTGCCATGGGTGAGAGTCAGGAGATGGTTAGAAAGAAGGAAGATGCAAAAATGGTGAGGAATTCCCATCTGGATTTTGGTAATGTGCTTCAGCTCCAGTGCTGGGGGTTGGATGACCAACTCAACATGAAGTGTTGGAGTTAACCCTTCCAAAAATGCTTTGGGGATCACTGAACCCCAGACTGGTTTGGGTGGGTGAAGACCTTAAGGATTATTTCATTCCATCCCCTGCCATGGGCAGGGACACCTCCCATCAGCCCAGGATGCTCCAATCCACATCCAACCTGGCCTGGAACACTCCCAGGCATGGAGCAGCCACAGCTGCTCTGGGCAACCTATGACAGTGCCTCATCACCCTCTCAGCCAGGAATTCCTTCCCAATATCCCATCTCTCCCTGCCCTCTGGCAGTGGGAAGCCATTCCCTGTGTCCTGTCCCTCCAGGCCCTTGTCCCATGTCCCTCTGCAGCTCTCTTGGAGCTCCTCTGGGCACTGGAAGGGGCTCTAAGGTCTTGAGCTTTTCTTCTCCAGGCTGAACACCCTCAACTCTCCCAGCCTGTCTCCAGAGCAGGGATGTATAAACCGGTTGTCTGGAAGTGTTCATCCTAACCAACAGACTGCATCTCCAAGGAAAAGGATTTACAGGGAGCCTGGAAAATCCCATGGAAGGAGATCAGAGCTGCTTCTCTCCGGGACTACTTCCCTTAAACCAGGTGGGAAGGCTCAGTCACATGGCACACAGTGCCTTCCTGCAGTGAGCTGAGCATCCTGATCCAGCACCCCAAAACGACCCAGGGATTCCAGACAGAATCCCGCCTAATTCCATCATGGAGCAAGAGGGTCTCCACTGGAGTTTGTGAACATTACAGAAACACAGATTTCCTGGGAATCTGGCACGAGGAGGCAGAAGGCTTGGGATGACCTCAGACCTCCCACAAATATCTGCCCTGACTGACCCCGTGAAAGCTTTCCCAATGCTCCGAGCGGTGTATGGAATCAATCCCCTAAGTTTGATAAAGAGCCTCTAATCATCATTTCCCACCTCCCGCCCCACGGAGCAGATGGAGAGCCGCGTTCCCACCCTGCTCCATCTCCCAGCACAGCACAGCGAGGCTCTGGTGGGAAGTGTGAACGTTTCCGAGGGGCTGAGACTCTGCTCCATCTGCTCGAGCAGACGGGCCGGAGCGACGCACTGGGAATGACAAAGTAGCCGTGGATGCAGGGCACGGATTGGGAATGGTGCACGTACCTCTGGGCTGTGTCGCAGGGAGAGCCTTTCCTCTTGCGGGAGTCAGGGTTGGCAGGGTCTGTCGAGCTGTCCCCGAGGCCACTCATCTTGGTTGACCTACTGTGCACCTGGAAATGAAGGAGACAGGGTCAGGACAGGCTTGTTGTAGTGGTTTCTCCAAGACAGAGCCAGAAAACATGGATCAAGCAACCTCTGAAGCAGCAATGGACCCACCACAAGTCTTACTGGATCAATGTCACATTTGGGAAGGAAACAGTGCAAAGGGAAGACAACACAGCATCATGTTACCTTCCTCTTGGTGTCCCTTGGTCACCATTTGGCCAAGGCACCACCAGCAGCACCACCACTGGAATGCACTGCCCAGGGAGGTGGTGCAATCACCACCCCTCAAGGTGTTTAAGGAAACACTAGACGTGGCACTTAGTGCCATGGTCTAGTTGACATGGTGGTGTTAAATCATAGGTTGGACTCCATGAACTTAGAAGTCTTTTCCAGCCTGATTGATTCTGTGATTCTTCCCTGTATCCCTATGGATTTTAGCTTTCTGGCCACGGAGCATTTTAACTCTCTCCATGCAATGCTTGATGTGTGTTTAATGGTTCATTCCCTTCTCCTTCAGCCCATCTTCAGCTCCTCTACCATCTCCCCACGGATCCTCTGACTCATGGCTTGCAGAAGATGCTCCACCCCTCGCATTGTGTCTGTGCTGCTGCTCCCCCACCACCTCCTTTCCCCTCAGCACATGGCCTGGGCTTTAATTAGAGCTGGAAAACTGACTCATTCCTTAACGGGATGCGACACCCTCCCACAAAGCCCTTCACCACCTCCCGCCGGGCTTCCTCCTGTGCATGGTCCTCCCAGCCCCAACCTTCTCCTGGCAGAGAGCTTCCCACCACAGCTGGTCCTTGGCCTGTCCCAACACTGGGCACCTCCTGGGTTCCATCTCTTTCCCACACATGGATATTTCATCATACATTTTAGGCTGTCGTTTTGGCAGATGTTGGATAAATTAGTCCATGTTGTGGCACTTGAGAGGTCTAAGCAACCAAAGATGGTGCAGAAGTCACGAGGACTGCAAAGTTGCAATAGCTCATATGTTGATGCTCCTTAATTATGAATTATATTTTTAATATTTAACTGAATAAAATAAAATTTAAGACAGATAAGGGCAGGAAAGACAATTTAAGCTCTGTTCTGGGACACCTTGAAGGGTCTTAAATGGTTTGGCCAGAGACCTCAATGCTTTCAGCCTTGAGAACTCAAGTCCATCCAACAGCTTAAATGGGACTATGGGACATAGTCCAGACCTCATGCAAAAGGTGAAATCCAGGGATGGAGCTTCCCCAGAAAATCCAGCTGTGCACGTTGTTTCCTTGGCTTTCCTAGAGCCATTCAGTGATTTTTCCAGTCATAATTCCACACTGGATAATGTCACCCTCCAAATTAATTTAATTTTAGAAGTGTTTATGGTTGTGAGAAGATACAACCCCCGAGAAATAAAGCAACAGGACCCCGGGCAAGAAGTTTGTTATTTAGAGAGTAGAAGGACTAATTCCTTAAACCTTATTCCCTTCCTTTCTTCCATTGCTTTCTAAGAGCTGGAATTTTAATGAGCATTTAAAGGCTGACAGATTGCAATAAAAGGAACCCTAGAAGACATGCCCAGAGTTCCCACAGCCCTGATCCCCACCATGCTTTGTTCAGCCTCCCCAAAAGTGCTGTGTAAAGCCTTCAGGGGTCCAACATCTCCCACCTGCTGCCCAGCCCAGAGTGAGGTGGCTGCTCCTCAAAACCCATCAGCACTGGGGAATTCCATGCTCAGATAGGGGAAAATTAAAGCCCCACCAGCTTTTGGAAGTCCTCTGAGTCCCAAAACACATCTACAGAGAGGCTCCTCCTGACCTCAGAGCGGTGTGGAGGGATGGACACAGCTGGGAGTATCTCCTGTCCTCCCTGATTGCTTCAAGCCCACAATGTTTATATTAGAACCCAGAACCCCCAAGTGTCCTGGGCTCATCCCACAGCAGGTAAGGGGGAGATTCTGCCCCTCTGCCCTGCTCAGGTCAGACCCACCTGCAGTGCTGCCTCCAGCTCTGGGGCAACAACAGCACAAGGATGTGGAGCTGCGGGAGAGAGTCCAGAGGAGGTCATGAAGATGCTCCAAGGGCTGGAGCAGCTCTGCCATGGAGCCAGGCTGGGAGAACTCCAGGGTGTTCAGCCTGGAGAAGAGAAGCTCCAGGGAGACCTTAGAGCCCCTTCCAGTGCCTTAAGGGGCTCCAAGAGAGATGCAGAGGGACTTGGGACAAGGGCCTGGAGGGACCAGACAAGGTGGAATGGTTTCCCACTGCCAGAGGGCAGGGAGAGATGGGATACTGGGAAGAAATTCTTGGCTGTGAGGGTGGTGAGGCACTGGCACAGGTTGCCCAGAGCAGCTGTGGCTGCTCCATCCCTGGGAGTGTTCCAGGCCAGGTTGGATGGGGCTTGGAGCAACCTGGGCTAGTGGGAGGTGTCCCTGAACTTTAAAGTCCTTCCAACCCAAAACATTCCATGACTCCATGAGAACCATTACCAGCTTCACTATCTCTCACAGATGAGGTGTCCAGGGAGGCGTTACATGTTCCACCACCTCCCCAGTGACCAACCTCTCCCCTCAGCATTGCAAACTACTCCACGGACAGTGAAACATCTTCACTCCACACGGTGCTGGGAGAGAAGAGCCTGTTTTTGGCAGCACACAGACATTCCTGCCAACGCTTCCATCATCACCACTCCTCACATCCTTTGAGCAATATTCCTGCAGGTGATCGATGCCACAGGCACGAGAGCTTGTCCACAGAAACCAGAAACCCTGAGCAGTTGCCAGCGAGTCAGCCCTGACCAGGGATCTGAGTTCAGCCCCCGCGGCTTTGGCACGTTCACAGGCAGGAAAGATGCCAAAGCAAATAGAAGGAAAAAGGG